ACTCTCGTGGAGTTAGGAGGACACGTGGGTAACAGAAACTTTCGAGAGAAGGAGAGAGGAAAAAGAGAGAATCACTTTCTCTCTCGACGTCCTTCTTCCTCTTGGTTTGTTCCGAAATTGTTCCCCCTCTCCCCCTCCCCCTCTCCTCTCTCTCTCCGGTATCCTTTGTTTTTTCGCTCTTACTGTTATTCTTACTGGCTGCGTTTGACGATCCTTTCCCCCTTGGCAAGCGACGATTGAAAGTAAACTACCGATACGCCCGCTACAATGCCACGAGATCGCAATAATGCGCGGCATTGTCGCGGCTGCGTAAGTTCATACAACAATACCCGCGTAGTTTTTAAAGCGTTTAGCTAAGTGCACACCGCCCCATTATCGACGTTAATAAACGTCCCTTCTCTTGCCCGTCGATCGCCACTCGACTCTGCGAGTCGTGCACGCGCGACTTCTCGAATTCTGCTCGACGACACGGTGCATTCTAGCGATTGCAAATCAGTCCCGGTTTATAAAACTGGCGAATGTTTCAAACAATGTAAAACATCTGCTATCCTTTGATTCGAGAAAAACAATAAGATAAAGCAAAAAATATAAAATAGGTCTCTTTCTCTTTTTCTTTCAGAAGACGAAATAAATAATTAATTTAAACTCTTAGATTTCGCTTAAAAAATAATTATAATATTTTCAAATATATTTTTAGATACTACTTACGTATTTCATATTTTAATTATATAAGTATAGAAATATTTAATTGTAATAGGTAATGGATACGAAATTAGCTGCATCTTTTAATTCGTGAAAATGTCGTTTTTTTTACGACACACTATAACTTTGATTTATTTATTATCAAAGCTACTTTGTACGTATATATTTTTGCATACGTATATATCATAGCAAGTTGCACAGACAAATATACAGGCGCGTCAAATTGTGAAAACTTTATTAACAATTTCACGCGAAAGAAATATCGAATGCATTGACGACAACGTTGGTAGATTAAACCTCGAATAGTTCCGCCATCACGCTTGAACGCACGGCAGTCCCGGTTGGTGGATAATTCGTTGAAGGAAGATACGAATGATCTGGTTGGGGCCAGAAACGGGAAAGGGGGAACACCGGGTGAGGAAAGGAGGAGGGGACGAGAAGCTGCCTGGGTGGCATGGATTCCCCTCCACGGATAAAATGGTCCCGCGTTTAGCTCCTGCCTTCCGAACGTTCTTTAGTAAGGAGATGAGCTTTAGGGTTCCCTTCTCTCTCTCTCCCTTCTCTTTTTCTCTTCCACGTTTCTCTCTTTCTCTCTCTCATTGTTTCCGCTCGTTTATCGCAGCAGGTCGCGTAAACATATTTGGAGCTATGACACTTTTAGAATCTCTAAGATTTAGAGATTCTGTTCATTAAAAGGTACAAAGATGATATGTTGCCGCAACTAAAGGACTCGGGACAATAATTTATATATGAATGCATGAAAGGATTGAAAGGGAAATCACCGAGTGAATTATTCCCTGCAAATAATTCACACACGTCAATATATTCCTTATAAATTCATACGATTTAATCGATTTATTTCAGGCAGGAGAGTCGATACGTATATGAAGTATAAATAAATATTTTTTTATTGATATTAGTAAATAGAATATTATTCGATTAGTATAATGATCTCTATTTAAATCATACTTACTAATTTTTTAAATTACCATTTATTCGATACGTTATTAAAATATATTCATAATTAAAAAAACCATTCTGAATAACTCGACGTTATTTCAAGGAAATTTATTAACAATTCAATTGCGGTGTATATATTACATTATCGGGAATATATATATAACAATGAAAAGAATAAAATATAGGCTAATAATAGTCAAATGGAGATGTTAATGCGCAGATATATTCAAATATAAGATAAAAATGCAATAATAAGGATAGAAAAAGAGACAGGAATAGGGCAATTTAAACAATTTAAAGTAGGAGAGCGTGTGAAAGAGGATGAGAGAGAGAGAGAGAGAAAGAATGAGGAACAATATTTGTAAATAAAGTCCCCTTCTTAGCTTTGTATAAATGCCGAAGAGAATAAATTCTATTCCATTTTCATATTAGAATCTTTAAACGACTTGGATATATCATAAAAATGGTGTATTATACACGGAGAGAATTTTTTCTTAGAATTTACCCTGAAAATATGACAGTCGTGGGACAACATTGTATTCCGAAGAATTTTAATATAAATCTTTCTCATTCATTAATAAAACTACAATAAAGTATGAAATAAGTTTGATCAATTTTACTGAAATGCATGGTAAAAATCTTTAAAATATTGTATTGTACCACAATCACCATATTTTCAGGGTAAATTTTAAAAGAAAATTCTC